GTTCTGTTGAATGCTAGGTTAGGAAGTTAGGGAGCATAGTTGCTGGAGGGACATCCTCGCAATTTCCCTTTTCCACAGTTTTAATTCTTGAGTAACTTAGTTCTTAGTTTTATAACAGGACTAATGATTCTGTTATTCATAAAATAGTTGTGATTAAGGTCAAGCAGATTTAGGACCAGAGGGAAATACATTTGCAGACAGAATTAATGAATAATTCTGTGACTTTGTTGGTACTATTCTATAAGTGTGTCTGGGTTTCTCAAAGTCTTGTCTATGTGCCACCAGTATTTGAGTTGCCATTGGTGCTTATTAAAATTCTGGTCCCCTTCCAAATACTCAGAAACAGGTGCTCTGAGGGAGGGACCTGGGACATTGCATTAAAAAGCCATCCCTGCTGATTTTTATGCATACTATTTGAGAATCATTGACTTAAAGGCTTCAGTGGAACAGAAAGGTAAAAATGTGTAAATTCTATAGGCAGGTAAATCAATGCTCAAAGCCTTATTTTGCTGCCGACTTGTTCTGTGACCTTTGGCAAGTTCGTTGACCCTCCTGGCCCTGTTGGGGCCTAGTAGTATTACCGACTCTACAGTGCTATTATTTGAGGGCTGAGGAAAGATTCTGTAAAGTTTGGCATAGCACCTGGCATGGAATGAGGGCAAAAGAGATAACCATTACTATGATGAGCGGGAGTATTGAAAAAGACTTTTAGGCGATACTTACTGATATTCAGTATTTTGATGTCTAGGTAAAAGATAAATTAAAATTTCTATTTCAGTAGACAGTAAAACAAATTATCTTCCTAATTTCCCAATTACTGTTACCTAAGATTTTTGTATTATTTTATCTTGCATAATTTTTCTGCCTCTTCAAACAAGTCTAACAATAAGAGAATTAGATGAAAAAGTTTGTAATAAATATTCAGAAATGTCTCATAAATCATTGTGTCTAGCAAAAGAGGACTTAGTTGACTGAACATAGTCTACTTTGAGGTCTCTCTCTCTTTTTTTTTTCAACTCTTGAAACTCACCTTGGTGTTATTTATTTATTTATTTGTTGTAGTGCTGGGGATTAAACCCTGGGCCTTGTGTATGCTAGGCTACAATCTACCACTGAGCCATATCCCCAGCCCTGAATATATTCTACTTTGAAATGCTTTCATATTCTTTCTAGAATGAACCACCTGGTTCTGGTTCCAGCTATTGCTTTCCTTTTATTCTCTATGTTTTTATCCTTTGTTTCTGCCTCTTCCTCCCCCCCCCCATTGAAAAAGTGCTTACATTCTCCATTTTTCCTTTTTCCTGTCTCTCTTTCTGGTGCAGTTCCTTCTTATTGATCTTGCAAGCAGAATTTCTCTGCACAGCACAAGTCAGAGCTAAATATGAAATGCTGTTGAATTTCACCATATTTGTACAGGATTATTATTGATAAATGCAAAAGCAGATCGTCTGCCCAAATGGACCTTAGAAAGCCAGATCAAGAGGAAAAGAGCAAAGGTAAAAAAGAGACTCTTACCATTTCATCCTAATGTAAATTATGGCAAACAGATTATTCTCATGGCAATATAATGGTGAGAAAGATAGTAGGAAATTATGTAGTCACAGAATGGAAAAATGGAATGCAGGCCCCCAGTGTATTCTTTTACCCCCATGACTAACATCCTGCATTTTTAGTTATTCAGCTTATGTGAATGGACTAATTATAAATCTGAGAAATTGTCATTTAAGAAGTTTCAGGTTTCAAACGGAATCACTAATGTTAAAAAAGTAGATAAATGTTTAAATTCCATTGGTGAAAGTGTAGGGACATAGGGACCAGGACATCATGTTTGAAAAAGTATTTTCAGGCAAATAATTCTTGGAGAGAATGACTGAAAAACAAACCATCAGTCATACCAGGCACACCCCTTTGCTTCTATTCCATTTTTATCATACCAAGCTCCCTTGCAAAATTTGATGTTGTTCATAAATATTTTCCTTCCAAACTGTGGGAAATAAGTTGTGAGTAACTTTGGCTCTTTGATAAGGTTAGGTTAGGGGACTGCTTATCATCAAAACAATGAACACAAAAGCAATTCAGTTCTGAGGCCTCTGACAAAACTCAGCAGCCAAGTGGTCCTCACCCTTCTTGTTTCCAGGCATTCCAGGGGATTGGCAAAGGGACAGCCAGCACAAGATATTGTCAAGGCCCCTTTTCCCTCCCTGCAGAGTCACTGAGACTCTGATCACTTAGAAAAAGATTTGTTTTGCAGGAACCTACAGTGTCCCAAAGAACTATGTTTACCCATAATGGGCCTTGCACTCTGTTTAATACAACCAGATGGACACTGCTTTTTAACTTGTGGTCACATCCCCACAGATTTGACCTCATTCAGTGGATACTATTAAAAGATTATCCTATTATTGAGAATTTCCATTGCATCAAATGTTAAATATTAGTAACATTCCTCTACAGGGAGAATGATGTAAGAACAGGGCACAGACTGTTGACCTCAGGCACATCGTGCAGATAGGTATGTGGAGATTATGCAACTAATCTGCTGACTAATAAAGCCCAATGGTACAGGGAGTAAAGCTCCAGGGGCAGAGACTTTCCCAGCAGCTCTTGAAGGAAGCATTTGGGTTCCTATGAAGCCATAGATGGAAAGTTATTTGACTTTGTTGCCTTGGTGCTGAGGTGGTTATTTTGAAAGATACTAAGGAGGAGAAAGTACATGCAGAAGTGTGGCAGTCTGATGTTTTGTTTTTTTTTTTTTACAAATGGGAAACACTTGGTTTCTTCCCCCACCCCCCTTTTCCAGTTTGGAAGTTAAAGGATGCTCAGGGAAAGCTTCAAACTTTAGTGTAAAGGCTGCAAGTGATTTTTAGAATTGAGACATTAACAAATTATTGTAATAGTGATTTTTTTTTACATGTTGCAGAAAAGGTGCTTGAAGGAGCAACTCTTAAGAAAGAAGACATTGATCTTTCTACTATGTCCATAGCTTTGCCTTTTCCATCCTATCACAGAGCTAGAATCATACAGTAAGCAACCTTTTCAGATTGGATTCTTCCACTCAGTAATGTGTATTTAAGTATCTTCCATGTACTTCATGGTTTGATAGTTAATTTCTTTCGCTCTAAATAATGATCTGTGACCTGGCTGTATCAGTTTATGTATCCATCCACTTTCTCAGGGACATTTTGGTTGCTTCTGAAGTTTGGCAATGATGAATAAAGGTGCTTAAATTAAAAGAAAAAGAAGATTCTAGTCACAGGACTGTTGTAGTCAGCTTTCCATTGCTGTGACAAATAACTGAGATAAACAAAGGAGGAAAGATTTGTTCTGGCTTCTGGTTTCAAAGGTTTTGGTTTTTGGTGTTTTGGCTATGTTACATGTGAGCCTGTGGTGAGGTAGAACATCAGCTGTAGTGCAGAGCTGCTCACCTCGTGGGGTCTGGAATGCAGAGATTGAGACAGGAAGGGGCTAGGGTCCCAATATCACAACCTCAGTGACCTAACTTCCTTCCACTAGGCCTCACCCCCTAAAGGTTCTACCATTTCCCAATAGTGCCAGAGGCTGGCAACCAAGCTATCAGCACATGGGCCTTTGGGGGACTTTTAAGAGTCAAATTATAACATTTGGTAAATGAGACTAAATTAAACTTTTAGTTGTGATTTTATTTGAATATACTTAAAAAAACCAATTGATTAAATTTTGTTGAAAGAATAAATTGTAAAATTAGTACATAGTAAGTGAAAGGAAGTCATTTTAGGAATAGATATATATAAAATAAAAAAAGGGAAAATCGCCTTACTTTTTCTTTTTATAGTGACAAATATTGCTATAATTTATCTTTCAGAATTTCTAAAGCACTGTATATAAAATAAATGTGATTTTTGTTTGGAAGTTAAGTATTGTTCTGAAATAGTTCTACTTTGTGTCTTATGGACATCTTTCTACTCTTAAAAAAGCCATTATTAAGGCTGGGATTGTAGCTCAGTGGTAGAGTGCTTGCCTTGCATGTGTGAGGTCCACTGGGTTAGATCTTTAGCACCACATAAAAATAAAGTAAAGGTATTGTGTTTGTCTACAACTAAAAACAGTATTTAAAAATAATAGCCATTATTTCTACTCTTCCTTTTAAAGGGAAATACTATATCAAATAAAGTAAAATGAAAAATATTTATATCTGATGCATTTAAAATATATCTCTTGATATGATATACTTACAAACAAGTTTTATAAGTTATTTCTAAATTATAACCCAACTGTATAATATTCCATTTACCAAGATGAGATTGGAATACACAAGAAGTTGACAGTCATGCTGTAGTGAAAAAAAGATTTCATAGGAGTATGGGCAATATGATTTCAATTATATAAAAGGTACATATATGCTTAAAAAACAGTTCACACATGAACACTAAAATACAACAATTAATGGAGGATGGTTGTAATATAAGTATTTTTCAAATATGCTTTTTCTGTATTTTAAACAATGAACTTATATTACTTTAAAAATTAGTCAAAATAAATATAAAAATTACAATGTACCTTATTTTTTTAAAAAAAATTCATGTCCAAGGACTACAAAAACTAAACTTTACCTAAATTAGCTTCTACTGTGTTCCAAAACCTCAGAATAACAGAGTAGAAATACTGGGCCCCTTTGTTTTGCTCACCCCTCCCTCCCTCCCTCCCTTCCTTCTTTCCTTCCTGTTTTGTTCCCAGGGGCACTTAACCACTGAGACTCATCCCAAGCCCTTTTTATTTTTTTATTTGAGACAGGGTCTTACTAAGTTGCTTAGGGTCTTGCTAAATTGTTGAGGCTGGCCTTGAACTTGTGATCCTCCTGAACTTGTCTCAGTCTCCCATTTGGCTGGGATTACAGGCATGTGCCACTGCACCTGGCTTAATTTATTTTTTTAAATTTAAGGAATTAAATATAAGTTCCCGCAGTAAGAGAAGTTAATCTTTAGTATCATTGAAAGAGTTGATAAGGAAATGAGACCAAAAAATTGGGAGATCATATTCCTTTATTACATATATGAAATATAAAAACAAATTAACAAAGCAATATATATGTATATCTTTTGCAAGTCCACAGGACCTCAGGAAAACAATATGTTCTGTATGTGAATTTAATCTTATGGCACTGTGGTTCATGTTTTGTATATTCAAGTACAGAAGAAACTGTATGGATAGTGGTTATGCAGGGGTAAAAGACGAAAACTAATGAAAAACTGTAATTTGGTGAACTATCACATACATTGTGTTTAAAAATGTGTAAATATGATGACTCTACACTGTTAATAAAGACAAGGAGTAGAACTGTTTCATGTTCAGGCTTAAATACTAAACACAAAAATATAACAAACTCAGTGTCTACAATAATTTTTGAAGTGTATACAAGTGCATTGCAAATAAATGAGGCTTTTAAAATGTAAAAAGTCCATTTCCCCTTTATGAAAACATACTTCTACACTTAATGATTTCTTCCTTTTATTTTAAAGTCTTTTTGTTTAGTTTTTTAAAAAGTTTCACCACGGTCAGCATCTTGGAATCTAACCTCTAGCCCAAAGCTGAGACTTCATGAAAATGTGTACTCCTTTCAGGTTGTATCTTCACATAGATTCTCCAAGTGTTTGGAGTTAAATAGCACATCTTCATTATATAGGTCACTTCTTCCACGTGTAGTGGCAGTGCTTCTGTTTCAGCAGATTTTTTTTTTTTTAAACAAGCCCTTTTCTTTTCTTCCTGTCAACACCAGTCTCCAAATTTTCACAATGCAAGTGGTAGTTGGTAAAGTGCTTTATACAAGGAAATACTATATACATGTGGAGAGGTTCCATTTGGCATCCCACAGACCTAAGTTCATACACTTCATACAAGGGAAGGCTCTTTTTTAAGAAATACCTTTCCTTATAGTAAGTGTGGGTGGGGATCCCTTAAAATCTCATGAATTACTTTAAGTAGCATCACTTGTAGGTAACACACCTGAAGTTGGGGGAGTCCTTATTAGAAGTCCTGCCCTTCATGGGTTACTGCTGAATATCATGCTGCTATTGAAACATCCTTGATAATCAGACTTTCAGAATCAGTCCATAGAAAATAGAAACCAGCATAGGGGGTTTCATTCCTCTTTACGAAACAAAACTCTATTTAAACATGGGCCCAGAACACATAGATTAGACAATGCCCACATATTTGAACATTTCTCCACATTTTGGCACTTTAAAAATTTTCCAGTTTTGTTTTTGAGGTTTCTTTTTCATTAAGTTTGTGTTTTGTACATAGACAAGTGCCATTGTGTGCTGTACACCTTTATTGTTACTTGCACTCCTTTTTTAAAATATCCATAACTTTTCTTCCAAGAGATGGTTTCCAGTGATGGACAAAACTTTTCATATTCACCACCAATTTGCCCGTTCTTACATCCTCATGCCCAGCTACAAGGTACTCCAAACCTAAAATAACAAAATTAAGAATGATACAGTGTTAGGCTTTATTGAAGGGGGAAATGTGACTTCATTAGTTTCATTTATTTGTGGTTTTGCATATGCATGGTTGAAATAGTAAGTAATAGACAATAGTGGCTCCCATTTAACAAATATTTATTCTGTGCCAAGTGCTTTACATGGATTATCTCTTTTAATCTTGAAAACAACCTGTGGGGAGAGAGAGAGAGAGAGAGAGAGAGAGAGAGAGAGAGAGAGTGTGTGTGTGTGTGTGTGTGGTGTGTTTACAAATGAGAAAACTGAGGCTCAGCAAAGTTAAGAAACCTGTTTATTGGCAGCAGCAGTACCTTGACTCAAACCTAGGTCTGTCTGATACTAGAACCTGTGCTTCATACTGTACCACTCTCCATGGGACAGAAGTGAGGATTCTGTGGGACCTTAACAAACTGATATAAATCAGTATTTCTGTATATTAAGTATTCCAGCATATTAAGATGGAATTTAGGAAAATGAAGCAGGCATTTATTTAAAAAATTGGAAATAGCTATGGATTATACAAAATAACACATATGCCCTATATAAAGTTGATATGTTTTCTGAATATAGAGCATTTGTTTTGATACACTAAAAAATATATTGAAGCTTGAATAGATCTACAGCTGCCCATATAACTCAAAGTTCTTTTTAGACTTCAGATTAAAAATTATGGTTAACAAATTCACACAAAAATGATTGTTTAGTGTCATTACCTACATATTAATTTTAAAATGATAATCTCCATAGTAAATACTCATAATGAAATCAGTTTTGGTATTTAGAAACAATTTTTTAAAAAATATTATAAGATTGGGCAAATAACTTTTTTTATAAGATAAAATTTTCCATTATAAGAGCCATATGCTTTAAAAATTAAATAAAATACTAATGTTAAAATTCAATCGAAAATGTCAATTTAAGCTTATGGTTATATATTTATTATTCATTCACTTAAAGGACCTAGAAAAAATGTTATAAGTAATGAATATCTGTAAACAAGCATGCTATGGTTTCTGATAACATATCTACTGAAAACAAAACAAGGCTTCTTGGAGAACAGCACATTCCAAGTCCAGGCAGACAGACATGAGGTAAGTATGAGACATATATTGTACTAAATACCAGGGAAACCTCCAAAGATTAGTAGGGAGCTTTCTTAGAGGATTCAGAAGCTCCAGAATGGATTGTAACAAATTATAACTTGTCAAGGTAGTGATAACATGAGCACCAAGAAACATAATAATTGTGCATATGGAAACACACTGAATTAATGAAAATCCCTAATTCCAATATTATGCTCAAAATAAGAGAAAGCCAGAGAGAAATTAATTTGGCATCTTTTGAGGCAGCTGTTAAAGCCATCCCTTATATTGGAAATTAAAAGGAAAGAACTCGGCTTTTATCCTGCCTTTGCAATAAGAACTGCATTTCATGATAATCTATTACCATAGCTCGGGAGAGAAAGTCCTCTCACTGAATGCTGGCTAATAAATGAAGAGAATTAGACAATTTAAAAAACATCAAACTTGAAAGTGCCGATTCATAAAGGGACATCAATTGGTGATAAAATCATTAAAAGAATGGTTAATGGAAAAGTGGATGTTTGTACAGTATCAATCAGTATTGCTTGATACTCAAGTGGAAAAATGGAACTGCCCATGGAGAGATCAGACTGTCCTCAGTGTAACCCAAGGTCAAGCTTAGTGACACCCATGTGGGTCACACAAGTTTTATATGCTTTCTGATAGGATTGGATATGATGTGACAACAACAGCTATAATTGATGCAAACCAAGGTGTTTATCTTGAATCAATCAAGCTTTCCATTAGGAGACAGGAGACAAAAGAACAAGCTAAATGCCACCACAAGGAACCACCCAGGCAAATGTAGAAGGTTGGATAATCTATAGGACACATGGCCTAGTTTCTTAAACCAATCATTAAAAAAAAGGAACCTATGCTTGAATCGGAGATTTGAGGTTCTGAAAAGCCAGATATAATGTGAGACTTTAGATTTCATATTGGAAGGACAAATCAGTTTCAAAGGATATTTAAGGATCAGTTGGGAAATAGGTTGATAGTCTGATCTCTTATCAGAACTTACCTATTTTTCATATTAGGTAATATGAAAATACACTGAAATTAAAGGTAATGATTATTAACTGAATAAAGCAGGTTATAGAATAGAGCATATTCTACTATTTCATTTAGGTTAAAAATACAGCACACACACACAGAGAAAGATCTGGAAGGATTTGAACTAAGATATTAACAGAGGTGATCTTTGGGGGAGGGTAAGAAATGTGAAGTTTAGAAATTTCCCCTAAATTTCTGTACTATGCATACATTTTACCATTTCAATAATAATAAAACAATTAAAAGATTATTAAACAAAATCAATTCTAAACTTAAAAATAGCTATAATGATGTTGGGGGGGGTGGGAAATAGTGCCATAGAGAAAATAATGGCACAATAATTTAATGACACAATATTATTAAATAATGATATAATAGTACTGGAAAACATGTAGATTATACCGTAATTACATTCTTTAAGGGGTAACCTTAGCTTCTGCATGAAAAAGAATACCAATATTTAATTGATGTACTAGTTAAAATGTAATAGTCTTGATATTGTCTAATATCTATCTGGAATAATAAACTCTTTTTTAAAAATTACAATAAACAATTTTTTTTTAAAACTCCAAGACTAAGTCTAGTATTTTAAATGAATTTATTTTGAAACTATAAAAAATACAGTTTACCATTAAAGTATAAATATAAATTAAACTAATATGATGATACTGATAAATCTTTAAGTTATAGAGTAACACCATACCAAAAATTAACATGCAAAACAATGTGATCTTTTTTTTTTTAATATTTATTTTTTAGTTTTCAGTGGACACAACATCTTTGTTTGTATATGGTGCTGAGGATTGAACCTGGGCAGCTCGCATGCCAGGCAAGCTCGATATCGCCTGAGCCACATCCCCAGCCCCACAATGTGATCTTTTATATCTCTTTTTAGCATTTGCATTTCATTTTTTTATCTTTATGCTTTGACATCTATTTTGCTACAAGTTGGAAGGCACAAAGTTTTATTTTATATCCACAGAAAAAGAAAATATACTTTAGTGCTAGTCTTGGTATTCTAAACTACATGATTGATGGATGAGTGAAGGTACACAAAAATTAAAAGGAATGATTTTTCAGAGGTATCCGATTAGATTACTCCTTTTCAGAGTAGCAAAGGGAGCAAGTTGACGTGCAAGGTTTCAGAATTTTCTTATCAGCTTTCTTTGGCTGTAGCAATTGAACTTGTAAAGATGGAAAAACAAAGTAAAATGAAAGAGTGTCTGGTTTTGCTTTGGCAGGTTCCAGTCTTTTCTTCAAAGAGAGTAAACATGTTTTCAAGAATTCTTTGAATAATTGCGCTTATGTTTTCAATTGTGATGAACCCAGTTGATTCTTTGACTGTTTGGCAGAAACCTGATTAGGAAGTACAGTGCACTTCCTGGAGGGTGGCTGAACCGGCAAAGCTTTTGTTTCAATGTCTTACTGAAAAACCAGCAGATTTATTTTTAATTTTTTTTATTTTGCTAATATAGTAGAAAAGTGCTTATAAGAAGAGCCCCTCAGCACAGATCACTGGGAAATAGAACTTAATAATGATTCTTTGTGTCCTGCATTCAAAATCTAAGATTCTCACTACTTCATCTTATCCTTAGGTATTATGTATTTTTTTCAGATTGAAATGCTTTCCCCCTTTTTCTTATTAAAATTTGAATGAAGTGGGCTGGGGTTGTAGCTCAGTGGAAGAGCGCTAGCCTAGCATGTGTGAGGCCCTCGGTTCAATCCTCAGCACCACATATATAAAAAAAAATAAACTACCACTAAAAAACAAATATTTAAAAAAGTTTGAATTTAGATAAAACACTGAAGGGCTAAAAAGGACATGATAAATTAATTAATAATTGAGAAAAATTAGCATTTGTATCACTGCTTAGATTGTTTAGATTGAGGGGATACTTTATTACTGTTTTTTGTTCTCTGTTTATCTGTTTCTTTCAAGTTTATTAATCAGAGACCACAAAGGACTCCTTATGAACATGACTGTGGGTTCCTGGCATATATGGAGAAGGAATTAGATCCAGAACATAAATTATGCACCTGTTTCAACACAGATGATGACTACATAAACAGGAAGACAGATGACATAAACAGGGAAACAGGACTTTTTTTTTTGAGTTATTGTTTGTTTTACTAGAAACTACTGAGTATTATATTACCAATGTATAGGTACTAATAATAGGTACTAAAGATATTATGATCAAAAACCTAAATCCTGTCCTCAGATTTAATGAGGGAGACAGAGAACTAAGTAGCTCATGACAGTGTATAGAGAGTGCACATAAACAGTGTAGAGGTAAGAACTCCTTTGCTTACTGCTCATCTCCACCTCTGCCATACATTTTAATGTTCAAATCAAATTTCCCTCCCTTCCAAGTTTCTCTAAAATTCTATTTAAAAAAATTTCCCTGTTGTTTCTGATTTGAAACCAGAATGATCATTTAATGAAAACAACACGGTGAGAACTTGAGAGTTGTTTTCTGTCCAAGAGAAACAGATGCTTCTCATGCAATAGTAAAAATGAATTCAATATTATTTGCACAGATGGACTTTTGCATTTGAGCTTCCTTTGGCAACAGGTTCTAATGTAATAGGATCTAGTTTTCAGATAACATGCTAGTGGCAGATAAATTCATAAAAGTGCTTTCTATGCAACTGGCACCTGGAACCAATCTGAGACTTCTCTTTTAGGACAGAAAGTATTATATTGCTGGATTTTAAATATTTTACTTTTACAGAGCACATGGTAGATAAATGATTTTTTGATGTTGGTTCAAAAATTCCACCTGGATTTTCCCCAGAATTCAAATGGTGAAGAGGAGAGATGCCCTTGCTGAGTTTACTTAAGTTGTGGTTCAGAGGATGTAAGTCAAGCAGCAAATCAGCAGAGACATGGTAGATTTTAAGTTAGAAAGGTCTAATGCTCACCAGGATTAAGGATTGGACAAGTGCAACCTCTGTTCGTCCATGATTCTGGATATAATGTTCGCTTTCCTCGTAAAATCTTCAATTTAGTAGATTTTAAGACTTTTTTAATCTTCACATTGACCTCAGCATGAGAACCTTTATCGTGAGCTGATAAAATCTTTATTTTTAGCACTGTAACAACATAATTCCACAAGTCAAAATATAACAATTTCACATTATCTTTTGAAATTTGAACAATTTAAATATGCATTTCAGAGTAAGAAGGTTCATCAATGATCAGAATGTGGAAATTTGCTTTAAAAACCATCAGGTCCATTCATTTTTGCACTCATTTTATCTCATTCCTCTATATAAACTGTGTTCTCCCTTCTTGGGAACTTTTACCTTCTACTTCCTCCTATATCACTATACTGGGGGATAGCAGCCATTTGTTTACTGCAGTTATAATCTTAAATACATTCAGCTATCAAATCTATATAGAAAGAAGAAACAGGAAGTTGAATTGTTATCCTGGTTTTTATTTGGATTCTGACTGTATTATACTTTCATGGTTGACCATATGTAATGTATGATAGAGAGGAAAATGTTACTGCTAGAATATATTTTACAGATTCAAAAGATTATATGATGACTATTATCTACTCTTTTTCCCTTGGTGTACAATGCAAGCAGACTGGAGAGTTATGGTTTAGATATGTGGTGTCCCTCAAAAGCTTACAATGTGAAACAATGCAAGAGGTTTGGAGGGTAAATGATTGGGTTATAGCCTTAACCTAATCAGCAAATTAATCCCTGATGGGATTAACTGAGTGGTAACTGGAGGCAGGTGTGGTGTGGCTGGAAGAAGTGGTTCATTGTGGGGGGGGGTTATCCACGAGGTATATATTTTATATCTGGAGAGTGGAGTGGAGACTCTCTCTGCTTTCTGATCACTATGTGAACTGCTTCCCTCTGCCATACTCTCCTGCCATGATATTCAGCCTCACCTTGAGCCCCAAAGAATGGAGCCAGCCTTCTATGGACTAAGACCTCTGAAACCATGAGTTCTCAAACTTTTCTTCCTCTACAATTGTTCTGGTGGGTCTTTTAGTCACAGCAGTAAAAAAGGTGACTAAAACATGGAGTTAGGGAAGCTGTCCCTCTACTGGAGAACTTCAGTATTTTAATAGTTTTTAAAACAATTTTAAAAGTGTATTTTAACTTAAGATTTTAAAAAGTGCACATTTATGGAGTACCATGAGTTAATTCAATACATGTATATATCGTGTAATGTTCAAATCAGGGCAAGAAGATCTACTCAAACATTTATCATTTCTTTGTGGTGAAAACATTTGAAATACTTTAACTTCTCTGAAATACACCGTACAGTATGTATCATGATAGAGCTCTAGTATTTTGTTTGACTTTTGATTCCATTATGTCCCTCCATCTATAAAATGGATGGATCTGGGAATTAAGTAATGAAGTAAGTTGGAGTGGGGAAGAAAGTAGACCTAATGAACACTTGATGCAATTTTCTATTTCATTAGGAAAGTTCTTACTGGCTCATCTACATCATATTGGAAGACTGCGTATAAGGAGAGAAGCTTATCTTGGCTGATCCTATGTTCTGAGAATACAGTTGCCAGAGTCTTTACAGAATCATCAAAGTTTAGACTTCTAAAAGGTCTTAAGAACTCATCTAGTCTTGCAGGTTTTAAGAAATTAAGTGAGCTGCTCAAGTTCACATGACTGCTTGGCTAGACGTAGTGTCTGGACTTGCCTTGCTGAGTAAATGCATCAAGGGTGACTAGCATAGTGCCTGGCTCATGATAAATGCTCAGCGAATGTCCACCATTATTATTCTACTGGTCTTTAAGCTCAAATAGAGCAGTTGCCTTGTCTGTTCATTATTTTGCTCAACAAATATGTGATAAAGTAATAAATAAATGAAGTGTTTTTCAAATAAGCCAGAGAATGGGAAGGGAGAAACCATTTTTTTCCCCAAGTCTTTAGGTGTCATATAGTTAAGAAGACCAAGGTGCTTCACTCCCTCATTAAGAATATTCAAATCTCCTCAGTAGAAAGTTAAAACAGCCAGATCTATTCTGTTATTTAGCCAAATTGAGAGGTGAAGAGAGGGAAGTATGCATGTAATTATAGATAAGATTTATATGTTTGTTATCATTTACTTTTTAATCTTTTATGAGATTAAATACAATGTTATCAAGAATCTAAATACTTGGTTTCGGAAAGCATGACTTACAATTTTCTCTTCAGAGTACTACTGCATGTTTCAGGCCATATAAACTATAGAACAATAAAAAGCCTCATACACTGATCAAGAATATGTTGGTAAGATAAGATATGTTGGTAAATCTTAATATATTTAGCAATAAATGTGAAGCCATTTGGAATTTGAAGATAGTAAGTCTTTCCTCAGGGTAGTACCATTTTTCTTCTTCCATATGATGTATTTTCATAGTATTTGCAAGGTAGAGATGTCTAGAGTATTCAGAGAAGCTGGCAAAGAGACCTAGGTGGATAGCTAGTCTCAGTGTATCACTAAAATATATCATCTTTCTCTTCCCTACCATTTCCTAAGCATCTACTATGTGCTTGGTAATGTGCTCATGTCATCTGCCAGGCCTCCCATTTCCTTAAAAATTCTCTGTACTAGGTTTGAAAAGGTTCTTAGCACATTTGAGAACTTCAAACTCACCGTATGAATATTTCATTCCACAGAATGACTTGGAGTTTCCTAACACCTGTTCCTTACATTCACATTTACCTATAGAAAGTAAGTGGAAAATGGCATTAGTTATTGAGAGAAAAAGAGAGAGAGAGAGAGAGAGAGAGAGAGAAGAGAGATGTGTGTGTGTGTGTGTGTGTGTGTGTGTATGTGTATCAGCAAATAAATCCAGGAAACACACCCTTTAAACCTTGAGTGATTCATGCAACATAACCCATAAATACTAAGCAACCATGAAATAGTCTCTTTCTGAATTGAATGAGTTATCATCCAATAAAGTATTTTCCTAAGAAAATATAGAAGGTAGAAACAGTGTCATATTTCAGTACTTGTAACTGGTGCTATGGTAAATATATTAATATCAATATGTTAATATTCCATGTCCAGTGGTAATATTCTGTATTCATGAAAGGGAACAATTAAATGGATAACTTATAGAAAAAACAATTTTCTATAATTAATGTTCATGACCACAAAAGTCAAATAAAATTATTGGATAGTCCATTAAAGGTAATACCATCCAATTTAAAAAGTATTAATTTAACACCTGTGATATGCAAATCCTGATATAACCTTCAGATATATCAGCATATAAAGATGAGCAAGATACAATCCTTGCCTTAATGATTACAACTCAGTGAAGTGAATAAAGCAAGTGTATAAAAGCAGTAAGTGGTCTATGAGAGGCATAGTCTGCTTGAGTGGGTCACATATGTCTGGGAAAGTGGGAAAAGGTTTTGTGTCTGAAGAAGAATTTGAAATGGACTTTGAAGAAAAAGTGGGATATTTTCTCACAACAGCTAAAATTATTACAATTCTAATATGTGAGAGAAATGCCATGCTATGTAGAATTTTCAAAGTACTCTGTACGAGACCCATATAGAGCATGTGCATACTCATTATCTGTTTGTATTCTCTTTAGAGTGATCCTGGAGGACAATGATTATGTCCTATTCATCTTTATATTCCTAGATCCTAGAAAGGATATGATTTTCAATCTTAACTGATTTAATGATTAGATATAGTTGCCCCCTTTTCTCTCCCCTTCTCTCCTGCTGTCATGAACTTCATAAGTTATTAGCACTGAGTGGTGATAGCAGTTAACTCTTGATGTGGCGTGCTTATGCCAGGTACTTTCCTTATTGTTTCAGTGCTGGAGATTGAACCCAGGGCCTGGTGCATGATAGACAAGCACTCTACCACTGAGCTACACCCCCCCTACACACTCTACTAGGCACTATTTTGTTTTACATTTATTTATTCACTTAATAGTTTAACAGGTAGAAATTTGATAAGAATATAGGGATAAAAGAGTTAGCAAAGAAATGTAAGCCTAAGAGGACAGAGTGTTTGTGGAAGGGTCAGTGGTCCTATTTATTCTAAGTACTGGCTGAGTTGAGAATAGTAGTAGAGGCGTGAGGGAAGGCCCTGATTGACATCCAATTAGGCCCTGATTTTAACTTGTTAGATACAGAGGATCTGTTTAGAGAGGTTAAATGAATTAAAAAAATACATATATATGAAAATTAATCTGATATTACTTCCTCAGAAGTATTGGAAGGGAGAGGAAATGGAGGCAGGAATCAATTAAAAATTAGTGAAAGCAATTATAACAATAACATCAATAACTAATTTGAGTGCCAACTATAAGTCATAAATATGTGAGGAACTTTACCTGTATGATCTAATTACTTAATATTTATGCCTATTTATGGAAGCAGGCATTAATGAATTAAGACTATGAAAGCTCGAAGTAGTTAATCAGCTTGTCCCAGGCAGGATAGCTAACAAGTAGAAAAGCCAGATTTTAAGCCTCAGTTGGGGAGAATCTAAAACTCTGATCTTTTCACTATATTGTCCCTCTAAGTCCTATGTAATGTGGGTCTAACTAGAGAGGTGGCTATGGGTCACAAAAGGAAGAAGCATCAAGGATGCTGCAGAATTGGGGTTTGCAAATCTTGACAATGGGTTGGATGAGGGCCAGGGAAAAGGAAGAAAACAAACAAACAAACAAACAAAACTTCAGGGCCTGGTAGTATAGTTTAGGGGTGGAGCTCTTGGCTAGAATGTGTACTGCCCAGGGTTCAATCCCCAGTACAAGGAAGAGGAAGGAGGCAAGGGTAAGAAGAATTTCATTAAATGAAGCTTTCAGCACCAAAAGGGAATTGTAGTATCAACAGAACTGGGGAAATTAGAATTTCAAGGGACTTTAATTCAAAGGTTTATGTAACAGTTTCCTGACTTATTGAAAGAATGTGGAATAGCTCACAGAAGGGGGAAACAGAACTCAGAAAGATCAGGAATCAGAAAAGCACTGGAGATCCAGTCAGTATGGACTCCTGGGTATTCTCTTATAGCTTCATCATTGGCTTTATGAAGTCTAAAAAACACTTTCAGCTTTGCCACTTTTAGGTCTAGACTTAAATTCCAGAGAGAGAACATCTGATTGGCTTCTCCAAGACAGACGTAGAAAGGGCTGCTTCCCATAGGAAAACTGTGTGGAGCTGTCCCCGCAAATAGCAGGAAACAAAGGAAAATGGATCTGGCCAGATAGAAGCAGCAGAGGTCTAGTACAAGGGGGAATATAATGAATTAGAGATTTGAAAGGTAGAAGTGAGAGGATGATTCTGGTGAAACCAGGTAGATTGAGTGACGTGGAAAACATTGGCCTGTCCACTGTGGCTAAAGCTGCCAACAAAATCAGAGAATGAGTTTACAAGTGGAAAATCACTGTGGAATGAAATAGTGGAAAAGAGAAGTCAAAGGTGCTCAAATCAGCTACTGTGATCTGTTAAATAATATTGCTTATAATCTCAACATAGCAGAGTTTTACTCATGCACAAGTTGTAGTAACCTAAGTGAAATAGCTCATGGCCTTCTATAAATCTACCAAAACAGGAAAGTATAGTAACTACCATGAAATAAAAACCTAATGGAGGGTTGGGGGTGTAGCTCAGTGGTAGAGCACCTGTCTAGTGTGTGTGAGGCCCTGGGTTCCATCTTCAGAACTGCATAAATAAAAAAAATATATAAAATAATTTGGTGTGAAACTCCAAATGGCATATACTATTCCTCAATGCAATGCTCTCCTCTTTAGTCTTTCAGCCTTTTAGAATTATTTGAAGGTCTTTGTCTGCCTAATAATACTCCTTTTTCATATGCTTAGAGCTCAAACATTAAAATTTGTTGGTCAGGCTTCAGCCCAGATATAGTTTCCAAATGTGAATCTGGAAGGAGAGAAAAACCTGTTTAGTTTCAAAATGTTGTAGTAACTAGGTTACTAGATGGAGTCTTGCAAAGTTGACCAGTCTGGCCTTGAATTTGTGATTCCCCCTACCTTAGCTTCCTGAGTTGGTGGGATTATAGGTATGTGCCACTGTACCCAGCACCAATATGATTTTTTAAAATTGAATTAACCTAGTTACTAGAACATTTTGAAAAATGAGCATTATTTACAAGTCCATGGCACTATTTAAAACCAGTTTTGGTATTAGGAAGTGAAATTTTATATCTGGTGATCTTTACCTCACAAGAAGTGGTAGAAATTAAGGGTATTAAGGGACTGAAGATGTCATGCAGTGGGAGAGCACTTGCCTAGCATATGCAGGCCTTGGGTTTTGTCCCCAGCACCACCAAAAAGAAACAAGAAAAAAGAAAGAGAAGAAAGAACTTAAGAAGTAAGGGTATTTTGTTGGAATAGTGCCTTATACTTCTAGTTGAAAGTTTTTTATGGAAACTTATGGTAGATTGTAGGCATGCAGGCACCTAAATTTGAAGACAGACTTTTTAAATTAAGTGATTAAGAAAAAAGTGCCAGGATCACTATCCTATACCCAGTGGGAATGCTGCTGTTTAACAGGAAACTGAACAAAGTCTCCCTGCACCTGGGGCTCATATGGATGAATCCTACAGGCTCTCTGGGGACATCACAGACCTAACAGCTGTGGTGGACATGAGGGTCTGGAGTCATTCTGGTGCCAGCCACTTTATGTGCTAGAACATGTACTTAATTGCTCAAATGTAGGGATTTAAAAACAACAACAAAACTTTTTCTTGACGATCTCTAATCTAATTTCATTATATTATATAAAACTCTCTGAAAACAAGGAAGGCAGCCCAGATCTGTTTCTGGGTTACTTCCAAGACTAGATACATAATAATAAGCTCCCTAATAACAAGTATCATGGGCTCAGTGAATGTCTGATAGTCCTAAAGACGTGATTATTACAAATTTGACCTAGCAGACCAAGTTGAGAATTATAAAAAAGTCACTGTATTAGAAAAGATAATGAAAACTTGTAAAAGTGACTATTAAAGTTGTAAAATTCAGACTATGTAACACTAAGGCAAAAAAATTTCATAGGAAAGATTTGTTTTCTTTTCCAGATGCTTAAAAGATAAATGTGGCAACTTCATATAATCTTATCTTTCTCACCTTCTTTCTTGTTAAATTAGATTAGAGATCATCAAATTAAAATGAAACCATTAGGAAAATTATTATAATATTAAGTTAGGTAAAAGAACCAGACATGCAAATATTAGTGTTTCTCAAATTTGGGTGGTTTCTTCCTGATCTAAAATATAGATTAGAGGATGAATCAGAATAGAGGTGTGGATATATGGATAAGTGACTATTTAAACCTTTCTGTATGTTTGAACATTTTCATAATTAAAAATTGGGGGAAATTATTATAGACAATCAATACAGTTTTGTAAGTTCATACTTGAATACATCCTCAACAATGTTAGACAAAACCTACAGCAATGTTAGACAAAAGAGAAAACAGCCTGTGTCAAAAACCAGATGCCTATTGCTGAGGATTAGAAATGAATGAATGTGCCAAGCAGGAGAGGCCTGATATCTTAGATCTTTCAGATCTGGTTTCAGAATCAGGCAGCTGTGATCAGGAGTTCAGATCCTGAGGGGTTAAGGGGACTAAGAAGGGACAACAGTGAGGATCACCTTTTAGAGACAGATTGGATAAGTTTCTCCTTGCCAAAGGAAGGAGGGAGCTTGGGGAAAAAGCCACAACCAAAAA